AAAAAAAAAAAAAAAAAAAAAAAAATTTAAAAATTTACATGGTTTTAGTGGCACAGCAAAGCCATAAATGTCGTATGTGGAAACACCACAGTGAATCCCACACAGAAAAAATGAATATAAAGTGTAGCTTTTTAAGCTTCTCACCACTAAACATAACCCTTGCCTGCATTGCACACCCACTTTTTCCATGCACATGCTGCGTTTGGTAAAGCTGTCCTTCCTCTTCCCTGAGACAGTCGCCCTCTACACCCTGTGTCTCATGTCCTTCTACCTCTGCAGGGTCTGCTTCCACCACCACTCCCTACTCTGCTCTCTCAGCTGCTTTCCTGCCACAGTGCCTCCTTCACATCAGCCTCTGGACGCCCTCATGGATTATTCCAAGCGAGCCAGCCTCAATTCCCCATTCCCCAGCCTCTGTTCTTCGTATCGCTCACCTTCCTCGTATGCTTACCTTTACCGAGGGCTGTCATATTTCTGTCTCCACTTTTCACGCCACTGCTAGTATACACCACATAAAACAAATATTTATTTCAAACATGTTATATAAGGAGCACTATTTATGACATAGTAAGATAATATACACCAAGTATTGTAATTTGCTTTATTTGCTTGGAACCAATATAGAAGGGCAGTTGTAGCTACTGCAGTGCATTCCTTTGTATAATCATGCTGTAATTTATCTAGCTGGCTTCCTATTTTGTACCTTTTAGGTTATTTTCAGTCCTAAATTATTGCAAACATTAAGACAAAAGGTATTGAAGTTCATAGAGCATTTTGTGTACCCGTACTTATGCGAGAGAAATAGTGATTTCTGATGAGAAAAATTAGAGTTTGAAAGATCTATGCATTCTTAATAGTGACAGATACTGACAAATCTCCTGCCACAGACATAAACTCACCAGCAGGGTATGAGAGAACCATCTCTCACACTCTTCTTCTGAGGGTGACTCTCCTGGCTGTCCTGTTCTCCACCTGTTGTAGCTCCTAGTCCCCTCTTCCTCTTTCACTAACTGCTGATGCTTCTCAGTCTCTCTCCAGAGCCTTACATTCTTCTCCCTGAGCACTTTTTCCTTGTGTAATGTCGTTCACTCTTTCGTTTCAAGTTCCAATCTATATATTGAAGACTCCTAAGTCTGTACCTCCATCTTGAAGACCCTGATGATCTGAGCATTAATTTACCTCTCAGACATCTTTAGCATGGTGCCTTTCAGGCACTGCAAACTTAACAAGTCTGAAACTAAGCTCATCTTCTCAGTGAGACCGTCTTACTGCTCAAGTCCCTTTGCTGGGTTTATGTTCTCTCTGTCACCTAGTGAGATTCTCGACTTCACAGAATTCACTGAATCCTACTTTTCCTTCTCACCCTCTCCCTTCATTCCCTGCCCCAAATGTCCACTAAGTTCACTAGCGTTCACTAATGTTCAGCTAGTTCTGTTTTCCAAATAGCTGTCCAATCACTGTTTCCTTGCACTGTCCCTGCTGCTGCCTTCACTCTACCCACCACTCACCCTGATGAAGTATTTTTTATGAACTACCTACTTTGACATCTGCCCATGTTTCTCTCCTTCTATCCAGTCTCAAAATTCTAATTAGAGTGACTTTTGTCATTAAATTTATTGGTGCATTTTAGGTATACAAAGACGTGAAAAGAGTCATTTCACGTCCTGGCATAAGTCTTTCAGTAACTTCCCGGTTTCCTTTGGGTAAGGTGCTTCTTCCATTCTCCCATTACTTCACCAGGAGAGCTGGCCAAATTGGACTTTATGCCGTTGTTTTCATGGCTTCATGCACATGCTGCTTTTCCTGCCTGGATCACACTCTTCTTCAGAAAATCCAAGCTGAAACTGAGCTCCTTAGAGAGGCATTTGCTGGTTCCTATAAAACGGTAGATCTCTCTGAACCGTCTCCACCACAATGATTTAACAGCTGATTATAAATACTTGTTTAATGTCTGTATTCCATTTTGGAGTATGTTTTATGGTTCCAGGGGTTGTTTTTTGTCTCACTCACCAAGTCCTAGTGCTCACTTAGGACACTGTTTCGCACATAGCAGACACCTAATAAATGTTTATTAAAATATATGAAGGCAATTATAATTAATTGCATATGTTGCTAGATACAAGGTTGTGAGGCAAAGCAGAAACTTTTTCAGAAATATGGAGTCAGGTTGTTAATCTATTGAATCTTAAAGTGTCCTCATGGTTCACAGCATCGTTTCCAAAGTGCTTGGTGGAAGGTGTAGATGTATTGTAGCCTGGGAATATAGCGGGATAACAAGTTCATTGTTGAAAAAACTTAGACCTTCACCTCATCAGCTCTCTCAGTAAAGAAACTAGTGTCAATATTCAGCGATACGTTTTTGTGTGTGGTACTGAAGACCAATCACAGGGGTGCCTACACCCCCAGCACTTTTGGTCTTTTGTTTTGAGCCTGGGTCTCACATGGTTACCAAGCTGGCCTCAAACTTGCTATCCTCTTGCCTGGGCCTCCGGAGGAGCAGGGATTATAGACATGCGCCGCTGCACCTGGATCACATCTATACATTTTTGACAAGTAAAGTTTATGTAAGTAACATTTGGTGAACTATATTTAGTAAAGCATTCCTATGTGTTTTTTTTTGATAATTATAATAGCCATTGCTTAGTTTTCATAAACTCCAAAGAAAGACTCAAGAATCCCTAATACGACCAACTCTTAGTGAGTTCATGTTCTTTCTTTTCCGTGGTGCCTGCCAAAGTGGGAGTAGAAGATTTGGATTACTTGGCATTTATTGGTTAAACAACATTTCATTTTTACACAGACAGTGATGTTAATTAAGTCTGCCAACATCTGGGCTGTAGGTAAGCATTCTGTTAATTTTGCAAAGGAGGAAATGAAATCACAGTGGCCTGGCAATTTGCCAAGGTCTCCGAACAAGTCAGTGTCAGGACTATGCGTACTACTCAGGAATTTCTGGCTGGAAATCTTCTGTTCAACTAAACTGCACACATCAGGGAAAAGCACACTGGAATATATTTCTGTTTTTATGTTTCCTATCAAACCTTCCCATCCCAGTAGTCTCAGAGATTTTGTGGAACTCTCTGTATCAGGTTTTCTGGGGTTTCTGGAGAGAACTCCTGCGGAGTCTTAGTGTGGATCTCTGTCGGGGACTCTAGGGAGATCTCTATGGGATTTGATAGGGTGGGCCTCTGAGGAGATCCATGCAGGGGCCTCCATGCAGGACTTTGTAGGTTCTCTCTATTGCTGGCTTTCTGCCTCTCCTGGAGGACCAGGCTTGTAAAAGGGGCAGAATCTTGTTCCCTTCTGTCTGTTCCTGTCAACATCACCTTCTGTGGAACTTGTCCCCTCTGCATTCTTGGGGTCCACATTCAGTCTCCAGACCTGAATTTTCCTTCTAGGAACCAGTGGTGTCAGGATCAGGCACTCATTCTGCTCTTGTTGCTGGCCCACCCTGGAAGCTGGCATGGACCTCAGGTGAGATAGAGACTTCAAGACAGGTCTAGGGACCCACGCCATATATGGGGGCCTGGCCCATGCTCATGAGATCTGCCTCAGTGGTACTACTTCTTGTGAGACTCTCCTCCAGGGAGCACATTGAAGCCCTTGGAACTGGGGTCCACAACCCACCACGTGTGGGACACAGAATAGGCTACTGGAGAAATTGCTCCTTGTGATGATAGTTAATCTTGGCTGTCAGCATGAATGGAGTAAGCAATGTCTAGAAAGGTGGTCAGACAGTGAGGTCACTAACATCATCAGTGAATTAACCTACAGGTGAGTTCATATTTGCTTGGACCATTAGGGGGTGTGGCCTAATTGGAGGAAGTGGGTACTAGAGGGAAGAGTCTGAAGGGTATGTCTTGTGTCAGGCTCTTCACTCTCGGATTCCAAGCAGCCATGAGGTGGGCAGTTCTCCTCTACCAGGCCCTCTTGCTATGATGTTTCTGGCTTGGACCCAGCTAACTATGGACTTATGCCTATGAAACCATGAACCAAAGAATCCCTTCCTCTTCTCAGTTTTTCTCTAGTAATTGATCACAACAATCAGGAGGAGAGTAGCACATTCCTCGTTCCTTCTTTTAGGACCCTCCTGCATTCCCAAGGGGACCGGCTCTGGAGAGAGGAAACCTGGACCAGAAGCAGAATGACATGCAGTAGGTACCATTTTGGGGCTGTGCCCCTCAACTGTTAAGCTCCTGAATTTTGGGTAGGTCACTCCCCGTGTGTTTACAAATCCTGTCTCATTGCCTATTACCCTGATGGTCTATGGGACAAGTCAGTACTGGAGCCAGAAATTTGCTTTGTGATCTAGACCAACCCCTAGGTCACTTTAGGTCTTGACCTCTTCCCTGAAAAAAGTGTTGGGGCTGCAAGAATGTGTGTAATGTTCACCAGACTGCAAGTCACATCTAGAATTCACTGGCTCTGGCTTTTCTAGTACTTGCCAATTGGTTCTTCTTGGGATTCAAGAGGTGATGACATGCAGACTTATGAAATATGTCTGAGAGTAACCTTCTGTGCCTTGAGGCTTGGCTCCCTCTTGCATCTGCATTGGAGCCAGTGGTGATTCTCCAGGCCTGTGGCCTGAGAGCCAGAGTGAGGCGAGACCTGGGATGAGGACAGGTCTGTTAGGTCTGCCTTCCTCCAGGCTGGTGATGGCACTCGGTGGACATGAACTTCCCAAGCTCTGCCCTCTTTAGGATGTCCACATGCCACTCTGCTCCCTTCCTTGCTAAAATCTTTGCAGTTATTCTCTTACTTCTCATCATGGGCCCAACACACGCAACTTGGAACGGTTCCTACAGACACAGCCAAGCCCAGAGGAAAGGCAGGTGACCTCAGGCAGGGTTGATGCGGCCCCTAGCAGTTCTCTTGTCTGCAGACCTGCACGTTCCATCCTGGCTGCCGCTCTAGAGAGCAAGGAAGGCTGAAGTCGGGTGATGACACTGCCATGTCATTAAGGCTGTTGTGAAAGGGTCTGGGGGGCCTATTCCCATGTAGCCTCATCAGACAGAGCAGGGGATCACAGAGATGCCATTGCTTTTACCCACCAAGAAGCCTGGGATGGACAAGTTCTATCACCTCTGAACCTAGGGCCACCACACCATCTGTCCAATATTCCTGTGACCACACTGTCACATGTGAAGCTACTGAGCTTTTTGTTGTCAGTTTATGAAATGACAACACGATGAACACTTGAGGGGCAGGAGGGGAGCAAGGGTGTGGGTGTGTCCTCAATGCCACTGTCACCTCCCTGCAGGCCCGACCTTTCTAGAAGCTCCTCTGAAGAGAAGCAGAGGCTGACCCCTTCCAATGCCCCAGTAGGAAAAGAGAAGCCACCACATCTAATGAGAACAAATGTATTAGAAAGTAGTAGATGTCTCAGTAGGAAAAGCCATTAGCACACAAGATGTGCTCACAGGAGTCACAAAATGCATGTGTTCAATTTTTTTTGTGGAACATTTTTTCTCACAAGCTGAGGTGTGAGGAGGTTTATCTGGTTGGCCAGATGGGGCACCTCTTTGAAGAGAGCGTGTGGAGTGATGGCAAAGATGACCTGAGGCACCCGTCCCTCCAGGGCTACATTTACAGCGACTGGCGGGAGGAGCTGGATCTGTGGGCAGTGAGGTCTTGTTGTAGTCCCCATTGCTGATGGGATGGCTGTGGTCTGTGCTGCTGGCTTGGTGACCACAGACCATCTCTCTCCCGTCTCTCCGTTGGTCTGGGCTGGAGGTGACTCTCTCAGAGCAGGAACACCTACAAACACGTTTAAGCCAGTGTAACTTTGATGGAGCATTTCCATGGCAAAGCCCTCGCTTGTCTACCGGTGTCTGTCTCACAACTATGTGGTCCTCAGCCATCCTACTGTCCATGAACAACTGGCTTGTGTGTGACTCTTCCCACTCGTCGGTAGCTGATGGGATCTTAGCTTTTCTCAGTGAGTCTTCCTGCCCTCTGGCTTTTTTCTTGGGCTTAAAAAAAACCCAGAAAGTCCTTCATTCTTTTCTTGTAATAGCTGGCTGGAGGAACTTTTCGCTTCTTTAGTAGGTGTAGGAAATACTTCCTCCCTGTGGTGCCTGTTTCCCTGACCTGGGTGGGAGGGCTCAGCTCAAAGGTATGGGAGGGCCTCACTCCCCCATATCTCTCTTCTTGCTCTTCTACTCTGGGCCTCCCACAGTCCGCTTTCTTCTTAGTTCGACCAAACATCTTGACCGGTGGCAGTTGGTACCCTACTCTGACTTCTTGCATTGCCATACAATGGCAGATTCCTCCTGAGGGCATAGCTCTGCTGTCCGTCTGTGTCTCATGCCTGGACTTTGGTGGGCTTAAACTCGGACCCAGCCTGTCTTTCCTGGTCCCCAGGGCAGTGCTACTCTGCCAGATTCTGTCCAGGAGCCTGTTGGTACAGGGAGGAGGAAGAGGGAGGAGGAGGAGGAGGAGGAGGGGGAGGA